ACCTCAATCCAGCATTTTATTTTGTAGCTCTCATTTATCCCATCATTCCACAAAGTTAGCTTTTGGCTTACAAAATAAGGGGGAATCTGAGTACAAAAAGTAAATTGAGCTGTGATGAGGGGGAACAAAAGAGGATACAATACCAGAGATACCTAACCACATTTGTGATTGTGCTTGGCCTATGCCAGAGACTTGATTACTCTGCCTTAGCCGGTGTAGCAACAAGCATTACTCCTGAGCATAAAAACACCCCATCTCCTTTTTAAAGCTAGTGAGAGTGTTTGATGTTATAGTCTCTTGGCAATAAACTCTGGAGACCAAGTCTTAGGAAGAATTGAAGAATCAATTCCATTTATATGCTACAGAATTGAACAACTCTCATCCAGCTTCTCCATTCAGACTGCTCAGATGAGAAAGTTGGAGCGTTTTCCTACCTACATCTCACTTCCTGACCTTAAATCTGACTTATTTTCTGGCATTATCAAGTGATAAATTGTACTTTCTACTTCGGTTGTGGACTATCCATTCTATCTAGATGCTAAGCAGAAAATGTATGGGTTAAACATGTTGGCTCCGAATGTTTAGGTGGATTTCTCAGCATACTCTTCATGAAACTCTGTCCATCATGCTGTAGAACTATTTCCATAAACATTTGTATGCAAATTAGTGGGACAGGGAGATGAAGAATTGTGCTGTCTTTTGTTCATATGTAGAACAGATGTTCTTGAGTCATATGTAGTAAGATATGATTTTTGTGAATTTTGTTCTATGAGAGAACTACATGTTAAGTAACCCATTGCTTATGACCTCGGCCTTCTCCAAGTTACCCTCCTTAATTCTATCTGCTGAAATGATCTCCCGCTGGGCATGACACTGCTGTGTGTAAAACACTCCAGTAATTCCCAAATGTCTACAGCCCAATGTCCGGGCATGAATCATCACACCTTTATGAAACGTGCCTCCCTGCCCTCCCAAACTCATTTCCCATCATTCTTTACCTTGCATTAATGAGCCATCCAAAGTTGTAATTTATTCTTTATTTTGTACTTTTACCTGGGCTGTGAATCTTTACTTGGCCAATTCTCATCCTTTGTGATATAAGGCACTCTTTTGCTGGCTCCTTTTCTCCCTATAGTTAGGATAAGTGGTTTTTTGCCATACCTCTCTTTCTTCAATACTCTATGTAAATTTTTTTCCTTGCATGTATGGTGTCTGTAATTACAGATTAATGTGCTTGTTCCTATTGGCCTGTAAAGTGCTAGATGCTATATTTCCAGCACAGTCTCTATAACACAGAAAAGATGTTCAAATGTTTTCCAAATGAATTAATACTGGAAGAAATGAAGGAACAACAAAACAACAACAGAAAAGGAAGTGAATTCTTTTCTCCCCAGATGCATAACATTATGTTTTACATGAAAACCTGAGGATAGAAACTATATAATCCAGCTTGCAGATCACAGCTGCTCAATAGATAACTGTGAAATACATCAAATTCCTCTATGGTGCCAGGTATGATAGCCCATAACTGTTGTTCCAGCACTCGGGAGGCTGAGGCAGGAGAAATGCCATGAGTTCAATGTCAGCCTGAGCTACATAGTGAGACCCTGTCTCAAACAAAAAAAAAAAAATAAGCAAAGGACCAACCTAGACAACGTGGCAAGATCCTTTCTCAAAAAATAAAAAATAAAAAAAAATAAAATAAAAATTCCTCTATGGTATCTCCTCTACATTTGTAGGATTCTACTCTTATCCAAAAACCTAATAGAACTTAATAGAATACTCTTCTGTGTCCTAAAGTAGGGCAAAATGACTTGATCAAGACCACATAATTTGAAAGTGGCTTAAAGACTAAATTTCTTGACTCCCAAGCAAGGATATTTTACTGTTTTTAGATGAGATTTTGAAGTGAGGTATTGTAGGTTAAAAGAAAGAAAGAATTGAAGGAAGACAGAAAAGTAAAATTTGCTAACTAGTAAAATTTTGTGTTGAAACAAATTAGAATAAGAAAAAAGTAAACTGCTTAAGTCCTAGGTCATTTTGTTGGATACTAGAATAGGAAGAAAAGGTCTAAAGAAGCAGAGGAAGTAGAAGGGGTAGGGGAAAGGAAAGTAGGGAAAAGAAAAAAATATGAGAAAAGAAAAAAATGGAAACAAAGTCTTTGTAAATAGGGAAGGGTGGAGGAGTGAAGGGAAGGCAAGGGAATGGGGAAAAAATAAGAATGAAGATACATCATGTCAAGGTACAAGATCCCAATGATGAATGTAATTGTATTGTATACCTAAAATGTACCAATATACTTAATGAAAAAAATAAAAATTAAAAAAAAAGAATACCATTTAGTAAGAAAATCTGGCCTTGCTATTAAAGTTCTAAACCACTTGGGGATACAAAGAATTCCAAATTGAAAAATATGATATTTACTACTAATAAGTACACAAACCACAAGGGCAATCATAAGGCAGCACTGGTCGGAGTGATACATGTCGGGCATGCTGTGCTGGAAGTGATGAACACACACAGGCTGGAGAGAGCAGGCTGCTCCAGTGAGAACCATGCATGGGGAGAAGTGGTGGAAAATCTGGTGAGGTGAGTTAGGAAAATGTTTTTCTTTGTTTTGTTTGGTACCGGGGATCGAACTTGGGTCCTTGTGCTTGCGCAGCAGGCAGCCGAAACCACTGAGCTAAATCCCCAGCCCAGGAAAATGTTTTTAAAAGCCCTCAAAGAAGCACAGCAAGAGGATGTATAAATATATACAAAGAAATTCATTCTGAGAAATTGGCTTGTGTTATCATAGAGGCTGAGAAGTCCCAGGATCTGCTGTGTGCAAACTGAAGACCCAGCAAGGCTGATGGTGTAGTTCTAGTTCAAGTCTGAAACCCTGAGAACCAGGAGCCCAATGCTGTAAATCCCAGTGTGAGGGCAGGAGATTGATGTTCCAGCTCTGACAGTCAAGCAGGGCCTGATTCTCCCTGGTTCTGCAGTTTTGTTCTATTCATGTCTGCCGTGGACTAAATGATACAAGTCCGCTTGTATTGAAAAGAAAAATATGTTTTATTCAGTCTACCAATTTACATGCTATTGCCTTCCTCAAATATTCTCACAGATACAGACAAAAAATATGTTTAATTAGGTATCTCAGCCATCGAGTGCACATAAAATTAATCATCACAACCTCCAAGGTTAAGTCAAGGTTAGACTAATTGGTAGGTGTCATGAAACCATTGTATATTTTATGGGCTGAGGAAGATCTCATGAATGTGGAAATTATACTTTGGTACAATTAACCGGATAGGATGATGAAATACAATAGAAACTAGTAAAGAACAGATATATGAGTCCTGACCTACAAATAATAAAGTCCAAACTCTAGATTCATGAAAGTGGAGAAAGAAAGTAATAGATGGTTGTAAAAATAATAATTGTTAAAATTTAATATAATTTGAATGTGTTCATAGTTGTGTTAGCACCATTTAGTCTTTACAAAAACTCTGCATGGATCAAAGCCTGGGATAACCCCATTTCAGGTTAAATAACTTGCTTGAAGTCACACTTAGAGATTCAAACACAGTCTTGCAGAAAACTCATGTTCTTTCCACTGCATTACTCTGCTTCTCGCTCAAATGGGTAATTACACTCAAAAGGCACAGGTAATGTAAACAACTACAAGTAGGTACAGTATAGTTCTTCAGGGCCTTCACATTTTATACATGTCTGGTGAATTTGGTGAAATTAGAGGGAGGAAAACAGTAAGTGTATGCAAAGATCTGAGTTCTCTGTATCTCCATTTAGAAGTGAAATTCATAAACCAAGTTAACAAAAATCACCAAAGATTTGAAATTCAATCATCCTAAGGGTCATACTTTTTATTTAATGAAAGCAACAAAAATGTAAAACGTGAGTTCTGTGAAGACTAGAGAACCATGAGTCTTATTTCCTAAAATGATGTAGTAGGCAGAATACTACCTCTCCCAAAACCTATTCATATTCTAATCACTGAGATTTATAAATGTTTATGGCAAAAAGGACTTTGTATTTATGCGTATATCATCTGTATTACTCCTACGGGCTCTAAATACCCATATGAAATGAAACATTCCTTGAAAAGAGGGAGATTTCCAACAAACACAAGAGGAGGATACAATAAGATCACAATGGCAGAAGATGCAGTGGTGTAGCCATGAAACAGCTGGCAGTCATCAGAAGCCAGAAGAGATGAAGAGAAGAGTGTCCCATAGAGCCTCCAGAAAGATCATGGCTCTGTTGACACTTGGATTGGCCCCAGAATTATGGGAAGATAAATTTATCTTGGTTTAAGCACAAAGTATATGAAAATTTGCTACCTCAACCATAAGAAACTGCGATGCCCAAATGGCAGTTGACGGCCTAAATTGTACACACACTAACAATTCCATAATATACCACTGGTCTACAAGGCGATTGAAATATATGTTAAATGCCGGAATTAAAAAAAAAAACTTATTGCAATAAAAGATACATTGCCAAGAATGATAGTATAAGTGTGCTTGAAGGGGGAGTGTTTTGAGGAGAATTAATGGCCATGAGATTTTTACTGTAATTTTTTAATTTAAACATTCACTGTATGTTTTGATCACACCTCGTATATTTTAACAGAAAATGAGAAAAGAGGGTACCTTAGAGGGGATTTGGATTGACCTCGGAAAACAGAATAGCGTAATCTCCTGGACTTTGTTTACGCCATGTGCAGAGTGCTTTACGGTAATTCGCTTCATCCTGCCCATTAAGGTTGCAGCTATAACAGGTCTGACTGCTCTTAAGATATTAGGACTGGCAAAATAAATGAGTGCTAATAAAGTGGTGACTTGTTCTGCTTTCAAGTCACTGAACCAGTGCAGTGGTTTATAGCAGCATTGTGAAGCTGAATAATTGGATACTGTGATCAATTTGAGGTATTTCAGTTTCCATGGTTTTAAGAGTCTGCTAAGCGCTAAGCAGTAACACAGACCCTTCCTTCACAGGCTCGATGGGATGGCTTGACTGGGCGCATCACCTTTAATAAGACTGATGGCCTGAGGAAAGATTTTGATCTGGACATCATTAGTCTTAAAGAAGAAGGAACTGAAAAGGTAACTTCCTTGATAATAAATGCATTAATTAATTAATTAATTAAAGGAGAGTGCTCAATCTGGACGAGGTAACATATTCCTATAATTCCAGTACTGAGAGACTGAGGTAGAAGGATGGTAAGTTTGAGCCCAGCTGGGTCCTGGGTCCAAATCCCAGTACTGCAAAAATCAAATAATAAAAAATAAGAGCACTGCTTAGACATTTTACTTAATCATACAGACAAGATGGGGAACAATAAAGTTGTTCTCTAGGTATGTTCATTTACTTTCAGTGTTCTAGATCATTCTACCTCACCTGCAGATAGAGGTTGATGTGCTAGATTCTTAAATCACATGTGCTAATAGTAATGTTAGCTAACATTTATCAGTGCTTGCTTTATGTTGGAAGTGTGCATTCATTATTGCCTATATGATCTTATGTGGATACCATCAGGCCGATTTCTCAGAATTCTCAAGGAATCTAGACATGGAAATTCAGAGTTGTCAATGGTCTATCTAGAGAATGGCATCCAAAGGTTAATTCACTCTATTTTGAGAATGGTGACAGAGGGATGGAATAAAGTAGGATAAAAGTGGCTTACTGCAGCAAATTAACTCTCCGTCCTTAATTTTAGGCTGAATGCTAAGAATATTAAACTAATTTTAATGTTGGATTCTCACTCTAGGATTATTTTAGTTGTGAGTCTCATTCTCAAAGTTTAAATTTTTACTGTCGTTACTATTTAGAGTAACACAAATGTAAATGAAAAACAATAAGGTAATCTCACCTATAATGGAGGGTGAGGCAAAAGTATTGCAAGTTCCAGGCCTACCCTGGGCAGCACAGCAAAGCTCAGTCTAAAAAAAAAAAAAGAATTTAGCTTCTTAGTAGGTTATACTAACTTCAGTATTCATACCACAAATTGAAATTAACACATATCATTTTAAGTCTTACCTTTAGAACCTTAAAGAACAAATGATTTTAAAATCCTCTGAACAATTATCTGAACAAAATAAATTCTAGAATAATTTTTCTTAGTATTAAACAAGACGGAATTCTTAATATAAAAAGTGACTTTGGAACCAATCAATTCCTTCCTTAATTTATAGTAGTGGGTTGATTTTTTTAAAGTGAAATAAGGCTTTCATTTCAGTTTTATGGCTTTTGTTAAGTGGGACAGTTTTCTTTTTTCTTTTTTCTTTTTTTTTAAGATCCTAACTACCCTTTCCCTCCAAATAGCATTAATTGAAACAAAGATTAATTAGGCTGAGTGCAATAGAAGGCTATCACTTGTGTTGAAATATTTGAGGAAAATAATTAGCTTGCACCTTTGAGAGTACGTACAGTTTTTTCATTTCAAAGATGTTGCTCTCTCTCCTCCCTTTCTTCCTGCTCCCCTCCACCCACTCCCCCTCTCTAGCTTCTTCTTTACTCTGACCCAAACCTTTAGTATTTTAACAAAGAACAAGGCATCCACCTGGTCTCCAAATGACTGTGGAATTTGGGCTGGAGGGAGCAAAAGAAAAGAATACTTATTATGGTCTAAAAGCCTATAATTTATTTTTAAAGAAAATGTCTGCTTCTCTAGGCATGCTCTCTTCTCCCGTTCTCCTTTCTTCTTAATGTACAGCGCTGAAGGGGGGAAGAAAAGCTCTTAAGGAAACCTCTTTTAGGCTCAGATAGGAGATAAAATAGATGGAGCTATTGTTATAATTTTCACAGCTATTTGTACTCTCCAATATTATGTACATTCTATGGGTGTTTTTCCATCAAAAGCAAAATCAAATTAGCTGAAAGTGTTTTCTGTGTATTTCTTATCTCTTCATTGTTTTCAATAACTTCTCTTTCTTCAGGTGACTTGGGCTCCATTCCTAAGAATGTTGATCAGGTCTTAAGGCAATGGGGGAAGCCAACACATCTTTCTCTGGAGCAAAGAGGATGTGCTCAGTCTTTTTCTGCCAGCCTCTCTCAGGAGCCACAGGGAGAATTATTAGAAAAAATTCATTTCTGACTTGCACTCATGTTTCTACTTCCTGCAAACCCATAGTTAAAGAAGAATTCATCTTGTGTGGTGCTTCATCTAGCTTAGAAATAATGTGTGTGTGCGTGTGCGTGTGTGCGTGTGTTGTTGTGGCTCTTCTGCTGTGTGTGTGAACTGACCCACTGATTTTACTTCCTAATACTTTCAGCAGCTCTTCTTAAACATGAAGATCTTTTAATGGTGCCGTACAGCTGTATACACTCAAAAGTTCTTTAGTTCTTTTCTTTTGTTTCTTTTCTTTTTTTTTTTTTTTTTTGGTGTGTGAAAGGAAAAGCAAAATTTTGAGTCTTACCGCCAAGTCATTTCTGTCTGACTCACATTCCATGTCATCTCTTTACTGCGTCAATTGTTAGGCTTTATATTAAATCAAGATGAAAAATTCAAAACATCAGGTGGAGAATGTAATCCTTAGCATTCATACATGGTGTATTTTGGGGGTTCTATGGTCCATTTTAATTAACCGATATTTTTATTTTTCTCTCTAAAAACCCAGTCTGCTGGTAAAGTGTCTAAGCCCTCATTTCTGTAGAGTGTGGAAAGTTTTGGATAACCCTGTCAGGACACCTGTGTGTGGGGTGGGGAATATCCATGAAAAAGCCTCCACACTTCAGTCTTCCAGACCAGTGACTCTCCAAATGCAGCTCAGAGTTGCTATTCTATATAAAGGGAGACCACAGTTGCTTAAATGTTTTCTCAACGTTATCTGTTAATTCAAAACAGATGTGTGATGGATTCAATAATGATGGATTCAATAATAACAGATTAAATATTTTCCCCTAGATTGTTTTTATTTCTCCCAGGTAGGATCAGTCACTGTTAGAACTGAAAACAGGTAACTGCAACAGAAGCAGACACGTGCCTATTTATCGCCCTCTCAAATATTTTCCCCAAAGGGCATGAAAACAAGTACAGATTTGACCTATCAGATAGAGAGTTTAAGGCCACAGAAGACTAAGATATCTCGAATGTCACCATCACAAAATATGAGCCCTTTTCAAAAAATGCCCCTTGCTTAGGAGCTGTCTTTGTTTTCTGAAGTATCTTTGTCAGATCATATTATATTACAATTTATTTTACAACTACAGTTTCCAGAAGACAAAAACATTAGGAACTTTGGAAGAAAAATGAGATTATCTTGTAAATTATAACACCCACTATTTTGTAGTTTATTGCACAGTGTCATGTTGCCAATGAATGTGCATAGATTTATGCAAACAAATGTTAGACATTAAAACATTCAGATTGGGAAAATGTCTCAGAGATTGGCAAACATTACATTGTCTTTCATTTTTTCTCCTCTCTCTCCCTCTCCCTCTTCCTCCCTTCTGTGTCTCTCTTCTCTCCCCTCCCCTGGTAAAAAGTCTTTCGATTGATAGATGGTCCTTAAGTTACTTTAGGTTGTTCAACTTGAAGAGTTTGTCAGGTTCACTTTCATCTTATCCACTGAGTCACAAAATGTGTAAACAGTTTCTTCCTATAGCCAAAAGGCTTGTCTCCCTTTTGGCAGTACTCAGTTGATTCAGTAGATGAGCTCTTTTTTAAATTGTAAAAAACACAAGTTTAATAACCTTATTTTACTCTTCAATGAACCATGCTACTGAAGGCACACAGAAGGTAGGCTAGTTTTCTCACTCTAGTAAATAGATGACCCTAACTGGAACCCAGAAAGCAGTTTATCATACTAGTCCAGCTTGTGACTCCAGGGAGTTTATGTAATGTTGGATTAATTCAAACAAATAATGTAGAGAAGGGACTCCAAGCACTGAAATTTTACACAAGGAAGGAGGAATATTCTCCATTTGCCATTAAACTGCAGTATTCATACCAACATTCCAGGATGTAACTTCTTGGCCTTGATTGTTTATGATCCTATGCTGCTTCCTTCCTGACATCCTATCATTGCCCACACTGTAAGGTGTCTAAGCCCATGTGTGGTGTTTTGCATATGACTGGTCACCAACAAGTCATAGTAACCTAGGTTCTAGCATAGTGTGTTGATCAGCTTTCTCTTGGCTGGGACACATATTTAAAGGAGAAGTTTAGTTTGGGTCATGATTTCAGGGGATTTAGTCCAAGGTCAGCTGACACCAAGGTAAAAGGTCATGGCCAAAGGGTGTGCCAAAGCAAAGCTTCTTAGTTCATAGTCACCAGGGGAATAGTACCAGAAAGGAAGGGGCCAGGTACCAGATATAGTATCCAAGGTCATGCCTACATGACCCAGCTAGACATACCCAAAATTGTGCTTTACTAATACCCTGGGCAGCTCCCAAGCCAATCAAGTTGATAGTTAAGCTTACTGGTTACACACAAGGACCTGTTTAGACCTGACAAACATGTTGCACTTTCCCAAGGAGACACCATCTTAAAAGAGAAGAATTTATCCCCCATTATATTTGAATTCCAAAATCTCTTCTCAACTGTGTTCTTTATTTTAAAGAAACAGAATAGTTCACCTAAAATTCTTTCCAAAAGAGAGGTATGACAATCTTTATAAACCCCACACTAAAATATGCATTATGAAGCCTCAGGATACAGAAAATGTATACACATTTATTTTTGTTTCCCAGAAATATTTGATTATTTCAGCAATTTTGGATTTTGTGTTCATATGCATGCCTGTTTATGTTTGGAAAATGGATCCTTCTGACTCTAAATGCTTTTTGTGCTATCACATTTTTAAGTTTGCTAAATGTCCTCTAGGCATTCATTCTCAAATCCACACTCAGTTATCTGGAATGACCAATGGCTTCTCCATCCTGCCAGCTAATGCAGAGTAAAAGTTGCGGGCCAGACAAGTTAGCCTGTGAGGGTTCCTCCCACAAACAGCTGATCCACCTCCACTACTTTACATTGGTAAACTACTGCTGTCTGTTTTCTCTATACAGTTTGAAAATTAATATTTTGCTTCCTGAAGGCACTGCCTCCAAGTTCCTAGAATAAAACTCAAATGCCAGTGTCTGGGCATCTGGTGAACCCTGCTCCTCTCTGCAGGACACATACAAAAGGGATCTGGCTGATTTAGAGAGAGAGGAGAAGGATGTTCATTTGATGACAACCTGTTCATTTATTTCAATTAGTAGGGAAAGCCAGTTGGCTACTTAAATTTGAAAGACACACACACGCGCGCACACACACACACACATTTTTTCCTTTTTGATTAAAATGTTGAAAAACAGAAAGCTAAAGTCATTCAAATTGCATATATGTACTGTTCACTTCTCAGAAATAGCTTGACCTATACTGTATTGTGACATTCTTTTCATTTACATTTAAATGTTCTGTTATACTGATAGTAGGGGGAAAATTGCCTCTTTTTTCTCATTTTGTGGAGGAAAGTTTTCACCTTTGGGACTCTGGGATTTAGTTGATTGAAAAGGCAGCATCAATGACATGTTAACTTCTGTGCTTTTACTGGCGATAGTAAAAGAAATAAAAGCCAGATGTCAAGCTGTGGCATATATTTATCTACAATTTCAAGTTTTATTTTAGAAAAGAATGATATTGCAAGACCAATTCAACACTGCCATTTTCAAATGAAAACTATCTCAAAAGTAGTTTCTTTAAACACACACAAGCACGCATAACATTAATGAAGAAGAGTTAAAGAGAACACGTTCTATTACTTGAACAAAGTGACTGAAAATTATGTTCTTCAATTTTCAATGCTTACTTAATTAAAAATTAAGTTACATTCTCCTTAGGGCCTAAGTCAAGTTTTAATTAGAATTACATCCAGAGTCCAATTTACACAGTCTTCATCAAGTTAAAGTTGATGGTTCACAACCTAAAGCATAGCTTTGGATAGAAAGAAAAGCTAATAGACAAATATATTTAGTCTGAGTTAAATTTTTTAGAAGCAAGATCCTCTGCCTCAAAAAAGTGGAAAAGGGGATGAAGGTAGAGAAGAGAGAGCAAAATATATTGTCCTATTTCTTGGGTTTAAGACTAGTCAAAAAACTGAAGATTCTGCAATTGGCAGAGAGATTATGCACATTCCAGAGGTGTTATATGAGACTCTGGATATGCTGAGTGGTTATTAAGGGCACTGACCTACCTTGCAATCCCACCTCTGCTACCCTCTTAGACAGTATCACGATACTTTAAAATACACACAAAACAACCCTCTGAAACTGACATTTATCTCAAACTGCATCTATTTCTCCAACCAACTAATCCTAATCAAAAATGAAAAAGTAAGGTTGAAATAGTTGATCCTAATGTGTGAAAATCCTAAAACTTCTTCAAAGCATTTGTATCCCTAAAAGGGATACTAAGCATGCAAAATTAATTTCCAGCTGCTAAATTTAGGCAGTAAAACAAATACTGAAGGGTTGAAACATTCTCACATGCAATATTTTGCTTAAGCATCAGAAAATCCCTGTTTTCTTCACTTTACTGGTGAGAAGATTGGGACACAAAAGGGTTCATTAAACTTATCCAAGTTCATGACGCTGATATGTCATGGAATTCTGTCTACAAAGCTCATTCTTTATCCAGCTAGTCAAATGTCTTTCCACTAGGGGAATACGTTTAGGGATCATGCGTTGATTCAGCCTACCCACAGAGTATTTTCAAGTGTTAATCTGGCTCTGCCCCTTTATTTTACAATTTCTCAATTAAAACACATTTACTAACAGTTCCAAATTCTTTTAGAATAAAGCAAGATGAAAGAAATTCCTTGAACAATTCTTTAGATGTCCATTACTATTGACACTCATTCAGCTCTTAACATATACTAACACTTTCACATAAATCCTCTCATCTGATCTTCTCAATATTTTTACAAAGAACATTCTGGTTAGAGAAGAAAAGCTCAGAAAATTTAGTCTCATGTCCAAGATCACAAAGCCTTATGCCTGGCTGTTTTTGCCTGGTTCTCAAGTATACTTGCATTCCATTTCACAAGACTGCCTATAAATGCCTGTAGGACACAAATGGCTCAATTTCCTAAGGTTCTTGGCCTAGGCTGCTCTCTACAAGCTAAACAAACCCATATACAGTTTGACTCCTCCTCAACCGAAGGTCTCAGGACAAGAAGTGTTTTGGATTGTGTATTTTTTGGAGGGGAGAGGATTTGGAATATTTGCATATACATAAGATACCTTATGAAGAAATCTAAATCTAAACACAAACTTGGTGTATGTTTCACTTACAACTTATGTCTTATTCATTTTCTTCATTGGTAGGACAAAATAGTCAACAATCACAACTTAACAAAGTAACGGTTTATTTTGGCTCACAGTTTTTAGAGGATTTAGTCCATTGTTGGTGGCTCCAAGGCAGGAAGGATATGGTGGAAAGGTCTGACAAAGGAAAGCTGCTTATATCACAGGAAGAATGGAGGAGCCAAGGAGAGAGATATAGCTTTCTGGGTTATGGCTCTGGTGACCCACTTCTTCCAACTATAGCATATTTAACTATGAACTCATCAGGGATGAGTATGGTGCCTGCATGATCCAATCACCTTTCAAAGCCCCTACTCTGAAGTCATGAGCTTCTGGGAGGACGTTCTAGATCTAAGCCATAACATAACATACACATAGCCTACAGTTAATCCTACACAATATCTAATACACCTGTGCTTTTATTCGACCTATCCCATGAGGCCAGATGTGCCCTTTTCCACTTGTAGCATCATATCAGTACTCAAAACGTTTTGGATTTTGGAGCATCTCAGATTTTGAGTTTTCAGATTAGGGCTGCTTCACCAATGTTTCTGTGAAGCTTCATAATCCAAGAGTAATAAGACCACTGGAGAAAATCATGTTATTATTTTTTAAAAGGGTAATGGGCTTTCCTGAATGCTAAGCACCATGATTAATTCTGTAATAGAAAGATCAGTAAGCGATAAAAGTGAGTATCGGGAAAAAAGAGTGAGTGTCCACATTTCAGGAGTCCATGCTCACGTAGACACAGAAGACAAGTGAACAAATAATAATAGCAGAAGGTTCTAGGTCAGATGACAACGATGTGAACAAAGTCCTTCTGGACTGCACAGAAGGTATCAATTTCTCAGCATTGGCTCTTCAGTGAAGATAGATTCAGAATTTGGTCAACGTGTAATCCACATTTTTCTCTCATTTATTTTCCCTTCTCAATGCTCAGTCACTCCACCATCTGCTCTGCTTCCTCCATCCCACACTTCATAAAGTTTAGAGAGAGAGGAAGGGGAAGGAAAGGAAAAGTAAAAGGAACTAAGATGTGCTATGTACAGGTACCAACTCCCATGATGAATAGAATCATGTACTGCAAGCATATACTAATAAAATAGAGGAAAAAGGGTAAAGGAACTGGTGTTCTGGGTTGGCAGTATAATGTTTGTATCAATAGAATGCAAACTCCACAAGGGCAGCAATTTTTATTATTATATTGCTCCATCCTCCAATGCATAGAGCAGTGTCTAGCACAAAAATAGATGTTCCACAAATACATATTGGAAGAAAACTCTGATAGCCATTTAAAATTATTAATTTTTCAATTTAAATAAAAATAATGAGCATGATAGTTTTAGTTTGTAACTAAAAATGTTCTCCCCCAAACCCTGCCTTGAATTTCTCCTATTGTGTCTACACACTCATTCTCTCATATTTCATTTTCCCACATTTAGAGGTGTGACGGCCTGGTATCCAGGACTGCAAGCTTTCCTGCCCTTTCCTGAACTATTAAAGAGAGGGGCCTCTCTTTAGTGTTATCATGGTCGCCAACAATCAGCAGCCTCTAATGTATGTGTTCTGTGTAGATTGGGATTTGGAACTCCAACAGTGGACTCAACATGACGGATGGCAACAAAGACAAGACCAACAATATCACCGATTCACTGGCCAACCGAACACTCATTGTCACCACCATTCTGGTAAGTTGTCTTCTAGAATTCGGAGCATTCAATGTAGACTCCTACTCTAGACCTGAAAGGATTTCTCAACTGTCTTTTTTATGTTGGTGATTCTGTCTGCATATGTCTATTCTTTAACTGAGTCACTACCCACATATTTTTGTACATTCCTGAATTACAGGCTTCCACCCTTTATCTGAAGATCCCTAGCCTCAGTGAACTCTCAGCTCTGCTCTCCCTCACTCTCCACCCTCACCCACCTGGTCTTTCTTGCTCTCTGACTGCTGGCTTTTAGGTCCAACCAAGAGGAGTCTAGCAAGAGACAAGGGAAATGGAGAGAGGCAAGAGAATTTCTTTCCCTGGATCCTCCCTACTGTCAACTAATGGTTTTTGTCAGAACCTCTGTCCTTCCACAGCCACAGCTCTTACCCTGTCTTCCAGCCTACATCCAGGGTCCAATTGCAGTGGGGTCTAGAAGAACACTTCCGCTTGTCCCAGCCTCAGTCCTGGAATGTCCTGGCTTCCTGATGCAACGAGTCTCTGAGTGTCAACATCCTGTCTCTAATCTCACCCTCCCTTCCCTTGGCTGCCTTTGTCTGTAATAGCTCCTTCGTTAACTGTTCTTCAAAAAACCCTGCTTCCTGTTGGAACCCTGATCCTATGTCACTCCAGCCACTGAGCACCTACCAGTTGTTTATTCTCATCCTGTTCCTTTCCTGAGAGTTGGACAGGAGCAGCCCTCTGTGAATGCCTCCCTTGCACCAATGCCTGCCTTGTTTTATTCAGTCCATATTAGAACTACTTATTTGTGAAATAGTTGTGAGACCTGTCATCTAGAGTAAAAAAATATTTTGTTCTTCTGATCACTACTTCCTCTGCCATCAACTTACAATAATATATTCTACTGTATTTGCATGATTGAACTATTAGTTCACTTGTTTATAAACCTAAACATATACAATATGTCAGCAGTATATATGGAGTATAATTTTATATAACAAAAATGAACTTTCATTTAGTCAAGTAAGAAATAATAAGATTATAGATGCATGGTTCAAAGGAAATGTTCAGTAGTCATTTCTTATAGGGCAGGGGATTTATCACAGCAACTTCTAAGCCAAAAGTTACCAGAGTTGAGATGGGAATGACATTTATATGGTCAGCCAAAACATATAAAAAGTAAGGGATAATAATATTGAGAAAAAGTGTATGAAGAAGGAAGAAAATATAAAATAGGAAGTTTGAAAAATGGGATGTATTTGGTGATTTCTATTTTTTTTCCCTGTGTAAGTAGATGGGGCTGTTAAGAGAAAAAGAGTGAGGGTTCATGCAAAGGAGCCCAGGTGTGGGCACAGCTGGAGGCCAAGCATCTGAGATTCCACTGCCCTGGGAGCCTTTCCATTTACTCAGATCCAAAATTTAAACATGACTGTGTTTCTATCACACCATTCACTCACAGCACCCCTCTCAGCAGTGCAAGAAAAATCTCCCATCCAAAGAAGCAGGAGGGAAAGAAAAAAATATATGAAATGTTCTATATTTGTAGAGGGCACAGGGAGGACAAGATTAGCAAAGGCGGGAAGGTAAGTGACTTCGCCATTCTCAGCTCTTAAAAACCATCCTCAGATATGTCCTGTTTTCAGGCTGCTGTTGAAACAATCCTTCCTTTCACATTAATGGAGTTTTCATGTTTGGTTTGTTTCATTTAGGAAGAGCCCTATGTGATGTACAGGAAATCGGATAAGCCCCTATATGGGAATGACAGATTTGAAGGATATTGCCTGGATCTGCTGAAAGAATTGTCAAACATCCTAGGTTTCCTTTATGATGTTAAACTAGTCCCTGATGGCAAATATGGTGCCCAGAATGACAAAGGAGAGTGGAATGGGATGGTTAAAGAACTCATAGATCACGTAAGCAAAAATACATTTTCTATGCCTGGGAACAAATGTACAATGAGAGGAGGTAAAAGAAAAAGTGATTGAATCAGTGTCAGAAGAAATGTTTTCAAGTTTGTTTACTTGGAAGATCAAGTAAGGATAAAAATTTATGAATCCATCCTTCATACCAAAGAATAGGCTTGAATGATTCTTAGATTAAAAATTCTAAGATTTTAGGCTCAGAGCAAAATCTCATCTTGTCAACTAGTATCATGACTAAGTTGCTCATTTCTTCTATTTTTCATATGTGTTTTATAAAGACATCCTTCTGCATTTTCCCTCCATTTTATTTCTGAATGATCATGTCTGTGAATTCATCCCTTTTCATTTCCCTTTGCTGATAAATGCTATTTCATAATTTACCTGTGGAAATAACCTGTTTTGTGTATTAAAGCCAGTCACCCTAGAAGCTTCTTGCATGAGAAGCATTTAGAGTTGAGAATAGGGACCACGTGTACCCAGAAAGAGTCTAGACATTCACAGAGAAGTGAGACAATTAAGCAGACAATTTCACTTTTCCAGAGGGCTGATCTGGCAGTGGCTCCTCTTACCATCACTTATGTTCGGGAGAAGGTCATTGACTTCTCCAAGCCCTTCATGACCTTGGGCATCAGCATTCTCTACCGGAAGCCCAATGGGACCAACCCGGGTGTCTTCTCCTTCCTCAACCCTCTGTCTCCAGACATTTGGATGTACGTGCTCTTAGCTTGCTTGGGAGTCAGTTGTGTTCTCTTTGTCATTGCAAGGTAAGTTTGAAAACTACTGAATTCACTACGATGGGTCTAGGTCAGTTTCAAACTTACCTGTTGGCTTTAGAGGTATACAAAAATACAATTAATGTACAGTTTTGCTCAGTGTTTTATTCTTTCTAGGTTACTGTGTAAAAGCCACTATGTAAATGAATGTCTTCCAGTTGTTCATATAGATACTTCTTAAAAGAGAGTAAGATGTAAGAGTAATGTTTTATATTATTTTAATTATATCAGTATTTCAACAACATAAAGTGGTTATTTATCCATTTCCTCTGAGTTATAGTACAACAAAAGCAATACATACTAATATATCTAAAATGTTTCAGCAAGAACAATAAAATGATGTTCAGATATTTGACTATTGAACTACTTAAGTAAACAAAAGAAAAAAAGTTACCTAGGAATTATTACCACTAATAAGAAACACCAGAATTAAAAGATTATGAAATCTGTAGAATAAAGAAAAATATTTTGAAAATTCTGTGAAATTTACTTTTTTAAATATTAAATAATAAGAAGATGCTGAAATACATGTAGAGTATGGCAGCATGAACTCTTTATGCTAATATTATGTTCATGGGTTTGTTTTATTTTTTGAGTTAGAATTCCATATTTAACCACTTTGCTCTATTCAAATCCTTAAATGACATTTATACCTTTCAGTAGAAAATATTTTCTAAATACATTTAATGCTGAGCTTTTTGTTTTTGTCTTTTACCTTTTATTGTTATATTTTTGCACTATAGATAATGATATTCATCTGGGGGAATTTTTACATACATATAACATATCTTTATCATTTTTAATCCCTGAATTTAAAATAGCTACTTTATCTCTCTGTTGGCTGAAATATTTGATATTTTTAGATAAACCACATTTAAAAAAAATTTTTTTTTATGTCACCTACTTGATTTCAATCTGTTTCACCTTTCAACAAAATTCAGTGAACTTTTTCCCTAATCCATTTTTGGTTTCCCTCCAGGAATTTCTAAGAGAAGTATTTCTTCATGCTCGCTCTTTGTCATTGTCCACTGTCCAGTTTTGATTAATGCCAGTTAACTCTTCCCCTGGCATAATTATAAAGAAAGCTTAGGAAAATAGCCCAGGCTGGAAAAGACTAAAAGATCAGTAGACCAACATATTCACGCTGAACAGACAGGGGACCTCACAGGTGGCTATTCATACATTCATTATGAAGTCAAAGTTTTGAAATTCTCTACCCTTTGTAAAATATACCATTACAAAATCCCAGATTGTTTACTTTTAAATAGTGATCAGAGCTCTCTTTCTGTATACCTCCCCTCAGAAAATATAAATATTGACAGTACATATGGTGATAGTATATTCTATACACTCTAAATTAGTGGTTCACAGCTGGGACATACTGTATCTCCTGAAGGACATCTGACAACATGTGAAAATATTTTCCGCAGTTATCATACCCTGGGGGGAGGAGTGCTATCCATATCAAATGAAGAGAATTCAGGGATGAAGTTAAACATCCGACAGTGTATGACGGTGCTTCTTCCCCCAACACACACAACCAAGGATTATCATGTGCAAAACATCAGCAGCCTTAAGGTTGCGAAACTATTCAAAAAAAAGAAAATATTGCTTTAGAAATCAAATTGTAAGAAGTCATTGACCTTTGGGGATGTGGATCCTAAGTGAGGTTAATGTAGCCTCCAATAGCTATTGAATAAATGACCACTCTTAGGGGAAGTTCTCTCTGAAGATGAATAAGCAATCTTGTTTTACTTGCTGCATTCTCTGTCCTGGGATCCACCCCTGTTGAATGAGGTGAGGACTGGCTGAGCAATGCAAGGAGCACAGGGCAACAGAAAAGTATGTTTCCATCCCCTAGCTCAGGCTCCATCTAGGCAGTGGTGCTGAGTCGATCAAGCTAGACAATGTTGATGAGCGAGTACATTACTTAGTATAGTAAAGTTGACCGAAGCTAATGGGCAAAAAATAAAACACGTCAGCAACATCCAAAAGTCCTCACAGACTCATAGGCTGGCCATATCCTTTAACATTTGACCCCATCTGGGTCTTAAATCAGCTTATTTTGGCATCAGAAACTACCAGGATGGTGTAACATTCAATAGTTTCCCCTGTTTATTTTGTCGGTTTCTTTAAAACCTCCTGGTGACCCAGACTTCTCTGTTTCTGATCTCATATGCTCTTTCTTTTCTGGGAGCAGTAATCTTCCCCCACTCCCCGCAATGCCATCCACTCAATATTCCTACTTGCTGACAGTATCATTTATAAACCGGCCCTTCCTTATTTAGCTCATTCTCCTTGACTGCCCCTTGCACTGCCTTTCTCTTATTCTTGAGTTTAGAGAAAGAAAGATGCCATGTATGAAAGCAAAATTGCAAACACCATGATGGTGAAACATAAAAAGAAGTATATAAAAATATAGAAAGTAATTCCTTGCAGTGCATAGGTGCACTGTTAGGAAACTATAATCATTTCATGTTTTCTATGCCTTTGAGTCTATCCCTGCTCCTACTTTATAAAGCCACAAAGTATATTTTAGAGAAAATTCCCCAAAACAAAATCCTAGTTGAATAGGGGTACTGATTCATCTTTACTTCCCACTATCACAGTTTGATACTACAAACTCAGCCACTGTGCACCAATAAGCTAAGGCGTAAAATGATTTTGGTTACTATCTTAATGGTTTGCATTCAAAGTTAGTGAAGTAAAAATGAAAAACAGATAATCTCATAATCATCTTTAGCTCCACAAAAGCTTTTGAATTTTTGTTGTGAAGTAATCCTTTTATGTTCTTTTAAAGGGGAAAAATAAAGCCCATCGCTGCATTTAAACTAATGCCCTCACAAGATAGATGCTTAAAAATCATTTGCTGAACTGAACTGAATTTATAAAGCTGTAGATATTATTGGAATAAGTGAAGAAAAACAATATTTGAGCCCAGCCTGGGCAACTCAATGAGACCCTGTCTCAAAATAAAAAAGGTGGTCTGAAGATTATGGCTCAGTGAGGGCTCTAGGATTAATTCCCAGTACCACAAAAAATTAGTTAATATGACTTTTAATACATATTCATATCTGTATTCTTGCTTTGTGGTTGGCAATTTTTTTTTAGTTTTTGAAAAATATTTAACCCCAAGAAATTATGTCCATGATGAATATACAATTTAAATAGACCAAATATCCAGATTAAGTGTTACTTACATTTTATGATTTTTTACTTTCTTCTTAAAAAATAAACTTTTTAAATGGTTGCATTAGGCAAAAAAAAAAAAAAGGAAAAAACAAGAAATCCTTGAAAATATACTATAAGGTTATAATACAAACCCAAAGCTTTCCCCTTTGGAGGACAAATGGATCCCTCTTCAGTGTAGCCCAATGCCCACTCTCAACCATAAAAAAGTCACTTAATTGGAGCACTTCAGTGTGAGAAATGTTTTATGCCTTCCATTCAAATGTAAGCTTCACACCTGAAACATAAACTTAAAATGAATTTCCATATTTTAACCTAAGGTCACTGTGCTTCATGCAAGTTCTGACACAGATTCCAAGTACATTTGTCTCTTTTGTTGTCATTTTACTGAAAGTCAGTACTGAATTGAGTGAGAGCTATTTGGGATTATCACCTTCAGATTATCATCAGTGTGGGTCATGTATTACTCTTTCCCCTAGACCTCCTGATGCTTACACACTGTCACATTGGCTATATTTAAGAAAGCATTAGGAATTTTAAGCTGAAATATCTATATCCAGGTAACAGGTAGGTCTACCACACTGTATAAAGCCAGTGTCTTCCAGCGCAACATCACGTCATTCGTTAATGCTCCTCAGTGCACACACTCCCCAAGTCACTCAGCATCAGAATCCAGAGATAACAAGCAGGTACAATCACACTGCTGTTCAGATAGTTTTCTTTTTTGCCACAGAAAATTTAATTAATTGCTCATTTACAAGGGCAAAATGTGACACACTGAAAGACCAAATTAAAAGCAGCATTCCGAAGAGGTGAGTTCATGGATCAGGGAGTATCAGGAGGATACAAAAAATATCAGAGGATGAGCAATTGACACATTTATGTTCTATTAACAAAAAACTCTCCTCTTGGATGCATAAGCCCCCTAATTTACTGCAATAATATTTGTAAATGATTGCCTGAGCAACAATGATATTAAGTAACAGCATCTTTACTCTGCATGCTGTTTCAATTAGTAGGTTCATTAATATCGGTATTCATTCCTTCAGCTCAGCAAACTGTTATTGTTGTAATAGTGTATAAATTCAGAATTCAATTATATTATTAAAACAGTAATTAAACTGTATTGGCATAGCACTGTCAATTAAAACTATATTCCTAAGTTCACAGGAACCTCTCCACTTACAGCTGTGGGGAAGATGCAAAAAAGAGTCGGACACCCTGACGGCAGGGTAAACACGAGGCTGTTAGCCTGGTCGGCCCCCAACACTTGACAAGGAGATAATGCACACCTTCCAGGAAAGGTTTAGAAAACAGTGTTGCGTTAAGAGGAACTATAGGCCCAGTTCCTTGTGCTTGATTCACAGTAAGGCCTGCCTTTCTTTGGCTGTAGATAATATATTCACCTTCAGCCCTGTTCTCCCTGATGCCAGCAACCTGCCACTGTTTACTGCTGAAACCTTATGACTGGAGAGTATTCCATATGTTCTCTTCGGCTTTATGATATTTTAACATTACTCTAACATCCTTGCTTGCATGAAAAAGACTCAGGGGCAAATGGCAAAGCTTCCCGTGCTAACAATTGTTGCATTTTAAATCATTTCCACATCACTTTGCTGAGAACCTGATGGTATCTCTTTGGACCAATAAGCACCTCTTGGCAAAGTATCAGGTGGTTAGAAAGTAGAGAAAGAATTTTTAAAAAGCGTGGAATTTGCCAGATTCTTGTGTTAAATACCACCCTGAATATCTAGATCCATCTTCTTTACAAATAAGGAAACTGGGGCCAAAAAGTCCAATGAATTGTTCTGACTGATTTCATAGACTACTAGTTGTTTTTCCAGAGACTTTTACTGCCTGTGGATTACTACCTGTCAGGCATAGCTATGATAATGCTACAGAAAACATTTTTTTATCTAACTACAGTTGGTAATTAAGTGGCTACAGGCTATAATTTTGGAAAGAATTAAATTAAAAACAAATCAAAAGGAAATTATGAACTCAAAATTCTTCAGCAAGTTATGGTGTGGATCTAACACTAATCTACCCTCATGCTTGGGCCATGATATCTCCAAACTGAAGTTTTGTCTCTTCGATGAAGTATTGTGATTTTTGTTTCCGTATACTATACTATCCTGAAACTATCTAATACATCCCAAACCTAGCCCTTGTCCTTGTTATTGCTCCTGAAAGTTTTTTCAGCAATGCAGGCCCTTTGTTAAACTATGAAATCACTACACTACAGAGACTCCTTCTAAGCATCTGCCCGTAAAAATCCCTTGAAGGCAAGTCACCCTTCTTTGAGTCTTCCCCAGGATCTAGCAACACAGTATGCTGACATTTTAGTCGTGATGCAGCAAGTGTGTGACACTCTCATCGCTCCTTGATTGGATAAATATCCACATGGGAGACGACAGTTTCTTCATAATCCATCTGGTTTTCAGTAAGATGGAAATGAATGAAAACATAGAAAAATTCAGTAGACATAGATCTGAGAAGACGATTCCAGCCAATCAATAGGGTTTCCCTAGAAATAAAGGTGGTAAATACTAACACAAAGTTCTTTTGTCCACCAAATCTATAAGTTTATGAGTATGGCCTTTACCCTTGGTGTTTAATGCTTACATCATTAATTGTGTTTTGCACATTTCTCGGCAGGTTTTTCTGGTATCCCATGTATTTATCTTATATTTACAGACTGTTTCTCTTAACTACCACAGGTTTACACCCTATGAATGGTATAACCCCCATCCGTGCAACCCTGACTCAGATGTGGTGGAAAACAATTTTACTTTACTAAATAGTTTCTGGTTTGGAGTTGGAGCTCTCATGCAGCAAGGTACACTGGTTGCCCATCTTTGTCACATGCATCCCACAGTCTGCTCACAGGCTTTCTTGCTGGTGAACTCCACCATGAAGCTAGAAGGTAGTATGGAGTACTATCTCAGGGATTTATAATAATAGCAACTGACTTTCAAGCCAGTTCTGAAGACAAAGCCATATATGGAACTCCTTTGTTATATATCTAAAATAATACTTCTATCAGGCAGTGAATACACATTTTCCTTTGGGTAGCAAAGGATAAAGTGCCATAGAAAGTGTTTACAAATTTGCATAGATGGAGGTGTCAATCTTTTCCTTTTTCAGTCAAAACTCCAGAACTCAGATGTTTGAGAAAAGTGGAATTTAAATCCTTTAAAGATTAAATTCACTTAGATTCTTCCAATTGCTGACAGTACCTAGAACTTTCACTTGCCTGCCATTCTGACCAGCCCTACTGAGATCCAGCTTAGCCTCTCCGTCACTTTCTACAGTCTCCTTTAATCAGTATCCATAGCAATAGAAAAATATAGGAGATAGGGAAATAAAGTTCTAGCCCCCAAAATGTAATATATTTTATATACGTTCTGTGATTTAAGGGATTTTGCTATCGTTACAGGGGAAGGGAGAGTTGTTTCAACCTTTGGAAGAAATCCTTCTCTTTTGTGGATTTTCTTCAGCTCTGATTCTAGACATATGGTCTAGAAAATAAGTCCAAGATTAAATGCATTAATTTAAGAAAATCCTAAACCACAGATGCTGTTGTGTTTGGAATATCTGCTCATTTGACAATAAGCTGCAAAATAAATTGGCAAAGGAAAACTCCAACTGGGGTATACATTTAAATATGTTTATTATTTGGAAATAAACCTAAGATTTCTCAGTAGGATGTTATCAAACCACTTGAAATGTGTCTGAGAGAGAGAGAGGAGAAAAAGAGAGAAAAGGTTATCTGGTATAAAATATCAAGTAATTGAAGAAAGTGGGCAATTAATCATAGTTTATGAAGGCACTACTAAATAGGCATAGCCACCACCTGATTTACTAGAAATCACTGGCATAAATTTAGAGCATAGCATAAAGAACTATATATATCCTGTGAGAAGCCCCATTAGAAGTCATATCTTGCTTTACCAGAGCATTTCATTGTCAGAGCACGCACCATACTTGTTAATGATTTGAGTGGAGACCTCCTTCCATCCCCTACAACCTGGCTCATCTAGCCAACAGAATAGAAAACAATACATACAAGTTTCAGCGCACACAGGACTGTGTACCCAGATGTATGACTGTGACTGCCTCCTGTCTCGTGCATCCACCCACCCCCACAACTTCTCTTTCATAACTACCGTTTGGAGTTCACCACCATCCACAGCAAACTGTGGGATGCAGTGTCTGTTAGTTACCACTACCTTGGGTACATGACAGTCAGGCCCAACCAGACTCTGCTTGTCTTTCAAGAAGTGTGTACACATTTGTCAGGTGTGACAAATGTTTCCATATTCAAACTTGTGGTGTTCATGACTGTTAGGGCGTCTGTCCTTGGCACGTGGAGTGGAACCAGGTACCTATGCTCTGTTGCGCTCTCTCTCGTTTGCAGAAGCTCGTCCTTGTACTCCATTGGAAGCCATTTTATGGGATTTCTTTTTGGATGTGATGATCAGACTTTCTCTTTTTACAGAGCGCGAGCAAAGTCTGGATCGGGATTGGCTGTCATGTCTGCCATAAGAGGCAATAAAGAGACTTCAGCAAGTATTGTCTCACATCCCAGATATTTCCTATGGTGTTTTACTCTACTTTTATTGCTTTCATAGCTCATCCTCTAGAGTTCCGAATTTACACACATCGTCTCTTCTTGAAGGAAGCCATTTCGAAATAAATCAATTAATGCCGAGAACCATGACATTCACAAAACTATGTGAACATTTAGAAAACACGAACATGGAATGATTTCATTAATGCCATCCACTGAGCATTTTAAATACAATTTCAGTAGGTTTATATAATGGTTTTCTAATTTCCAAAAGAATTTCATCCAAATTCATAAATATTTAGTGAGAAAGAGATGAATTTACATTAAATGTCAACAGTTGGTTTTTTATATGTCTGTCCAGTTTTACTGCCATATTGATACATAATTGTACAAATATATGAATTCAAAAGTTTCTTTTTATAAATGCAATCAAATTACATATGGATAAATTTACAGTAGTAAAGCTGTACCTACAAGCTAAGAAAAATATATCTGTTAAATGTGTTCTTTCTTTCCCATGGCTATTTTATTAAATAAATGCCATTTTAATGATAACCAACTAAAGATCTAAAATAATATCACATTGCCACAGGGCTGCTAGATCAATTAAGTACAAAGATATGAAACAACCTTGGGCTTTAAACACACACACCCATAGGCTTATAAATCCCATTAAGCCACACGATTAAAACAGCAGCAACAAATTATTCCACTAAACCCTTGGAGGCGATTTATTGGAAACTATTATAAATTTGTGTATTACTACACACTCAAGTTCAAACAAACAAAAGAAAGAAATACAAATTGTGGTCAAACTATTTACCTCCTTAAAGAGTGTAAAGCACAAAGATACCTAATAGCATTAGGAGAACATTATGTTTATTCAAATTCCAGAAATTGCCAGCCTATATCTGCTTATCAGGAGCCTTGAGCTGGCTTTGATTTTGTAAGCAATGTGTGTGTCTCTATATAGGTTAAACCTCAACATAAACTCTATTATTTATACATTGGCAAACTTTAATTTTTCTTCCCATAGTAAGCCACTATTAACTACAAAATTTCAAAAAACCTAATCATTTTTCAGAAAGGATTTTTAAATCAGATGTTTCATCTGCTGTACTTTTTGGGATTTTAAATTTAGAACATTCTTCTTCCGTTCTTTGGTCATATAAACTTGTCATGCCTTCAGGTTCACTGAAGAAACGTTATCTACAGAAATAAGGGTGAATTTCAGGCAACTAGGTAGCCAAAATCCATTTAAAATTAGAGCAATTGGAGTGAACTCAATTGTGTTTCTGGTCCCTTCTGATTCTGCTGCTGGATTTATAAACATCCACAGCCCCTTTAGACCAAAACTGAACTAGTCTTTTTTCAAGATGTAAAATTACCTGATGGTCCTTTTCTTTGAGAGAGGACAGTTTTCTTGGTGGGCATATTAAGTGCCTCTATGTTATCTTTTTAACCATGAATCATCGGAATTTCATCCAAAATGTATATTCTTTCCATGAAAGACCTCTCTCCACGTGAGAAACAACCAGTTTTTGAAATGTAATTAAGACACATTACTTTTTTAAAAGACAAAAATTATGCTTTGAAGAGAACAAATTCCTTGTTAGCCAAATATGATTCTATATTAGAAAAAAGAACTGTGGCTCTAAAAGGAATATAAAATGAAAAATGATTCATTCACTGTCAAGTATGGCTGCATCTTCTTTAATTTTATTTTAAAAATCCAAGTGTCTTATTAAAGTACATGAGATAAATGGTTTCATGTTAATCTTTTGAAAGTTTCCCATATTCTTTAATCTTAAATAAAAATAAGTTAGTATTTTAAACTTTTCATAATAACTCAAAGACCTAGAACATCTTATTTCACACTATAAGATGCACTTTAGACAATAATAAAAAGCCAGAAGTCTTAGGATGGATATTTCGATGTTAAGAAACTGAAATAATTAAACTTTAGGCATAGACTATTCCAGAATTAAAGCTATTTTAATATCATCAATCACTGACAAATTGCCTTTTAATAAGAAGTAATGATTTAAGGAAAGGATCAGTTAGATTTTGCTCCATTACCAGCAAATACATTTATCTCATCTATAGACAATATAGTAGGTCCTTGAAGGGCTTATTTTCCTCTGATAGTGCCCAGCTGTAAGTATTCCCTTTTCTCCTGACTCTGCTTAACACCCTACTCTGATGATGCCATCACAGGATCAGAGCTGATGCCTAAAGCTCTCTCGACCAGAATAGTTGGTGGAATATGGTGGTTTTTCACCCTAATCATCATTTCATCCTACACTGCCAATCTTGCTGCCTTCTTGACAGTAGAGAGGATGGAATCCCCCATAGATTCGGCAGATGACCTGGCAAAGCAAACCAAGATAGAATACGGCACAGTCAGAGATGGATCAACAATGACCTTCTTCAAGGTAAGAACCTGACAAGAGTTCTCAGTGGTTACTTCACACTGGAGAGAAAGGGGGGCAAGCCATCATCTGTTCAATTTAAAAGCGAATAGATACTGGGGAACTTTTTGGTGAAATAAAATTTGTAATAATATAATCCCATTAAAAAGGAACCCCTGTGCCCTCAGCAATGAGCATAAAGCAATTTCTTTCTTCTGTCATTTATTTCATCCCCAGTGTGATATGCGCACAGCCACAGGTCAGTATGCTCTTGGCCTTCACTACAGTGCTGCCTTCCAAACACAGTCTAACCACCTGCTAATTAAACATTCATTTATGAAACCCACAGAATGACAATTCCTTAATCTAAAATTCTGACAAGCAGAATATTTGAACATCATCATTTTGTTCTTTCCCTTCCGTACTTGATGAGGTAGAAGCAGATGATTTTAAATAAATGTGTGGGTATTCCAATTTAGTTAAAGAATTTTAAGAAGAAAACAAATCTCAAGGAATTCTGGTCTAATACTTTGTCTGTAGCGATGAAGGACAGTTTTCTCTCCATGCCTAAAGCTTCCAGAAGCCATGAGAGCCTTTAGTGCACAAAAGGAGAATTAAATTACAGTGGATTTATTTTAAGGTCAAGTGCATTTCACTTTTCAGATCTTCTTAATTACCCAGAATAATGTAACTGATTTTGGCTTTACTTATGGAGTAAGCTCTAGTACTTTTATTATCAAATCTCAGATACTATAATTTCTGTGAAAAAAGGAAAGGGATTTTAATAGTTCTGCTAGGTTTAGAGATCACAAAGTTTAGCCTTTCATTTTACCATGAAGAGAACAAGACCTGCAGAAGCTAAGTTATCTGCTCATAGTAACCTGTTCCCTGACAGAAGAGGCACTAGAGTTGCTCTGAAGAAACTCTGGTGGAGGTAAAGTTGCTTAGAGTAAAAGGAAGATGGGTTGTTGCCAAAATAAACCCTAAAAACATCTTTGTGAAGGTTTTACACTCAGATTATCAAAAATGAAGTTGTTAGCCCAGGATGAAGTAGAGTGTTTTGACTTATGAAGAATATTACTTTAGAAACAAAAACTAAGGAAAGTCTAAAAAATGTACCCTTCTTTGTATAACAGTATTTTTTCACAAAACAGACATTACCTATATGGGAATTTTAGCATTATTATATCATTATAATAATAATGATGATGATGCATAAGACTTAAATGTATTGCAAAAAACTCTTTCTAGTTTTATCAAAAAGCAAAGTAACATTAAAAAGTATGATTCACTTTTCCTAATGTTAAAAATATTTTTAAACACTCATTAAGAACAATGTCACTGATTGAATGAATGTATAAATCATGGTATTTTTTTTTCCTGGACAGTGATAGTTTAAGAAGAAATGAAAATAAATACATGGCTTTCCAAGCTTCTGAAAGTATTGTCTTAAACTCAGTAGTGTGAGCAGACATAAGTTACCCTAACCTAGTGATACATCGTGGTTCTTGTCACAACCAGAAAGTCACTTGGCAGGTGCACAGGAGAGAGAAACAGTGCCAAAGTAGGATCCAACATATCTGAAAGCCTGTCTCAAATCAAAGAGTTTAAGGCAGCTGTGGTGGCACATGCCTGTAATCCCAGCACCCTAGGAATACAAGGCAGGAGCTCAAATTTAAGCCCAGCCTGTTAGCACCCTGTCCCTATTTCTGTGACAGGACCCTGGAGTGACTGCTTGAAGATGGTGCTGCCCCCACCTCGGCTGCCCGTGCAATTTCAGAAAGGGCTCCTGCTTGATCTTTAGTCCGGAATGTGGGGCACACAGCAAAGTGCTCTCTCAGATCACTAGGCAAATGGCCAGGCAATCCACATTTCAAGGGGAGAGAATTTGGTGAAAGGACAAAATGGAAAGGACACTTTGTAAGTAAAAACACAGGTCTCTGGGGCAGTGGCGAAGGCACCTCTATTGCTTTGTCAAAGAGCAGCCTGGCCTCCTCCTTTGGCATCGGCGGTGTACATCTAGGAGGATGGAGAAAGAACTCTTCTGCTTCTAATGCCCCATTTCCTGGTACATACTTTAAAATTCTTCATACCTACATAACTACACCTGCAGCTCTCCTTTGTAAATTTCTTTCTTTTTTTTTTAACAGCACCTTGGTGGGTGGTTAAATTGTCCAGGCTGGGCTCAAACTTGCATTTCTCCTTTCTCAGGCTCCCAGAATGCTGAGATTCTAGGTGTGCACCACTCCACCCTGCTTAAAACTCTTTGATATTAGTGAATGAGGCAAATCAGTGAAAATGGCAGTGGCACAGCACTAACCCTGAGCTGCACACTCTATTTCTAAATGTTTTACACATATTGTTTTATTTAATCCTTTTAAAGGCCAACTGAGGTGAGTACTAATATTGTCCTTTATATGATGAGTGAAATGAGGTACAGATAGGGTGAGTGACTGGCTCCAAAGCCACAAAGCTCACAATGAAAGAGCCAAGATGCAGTCAAAGTTTAGAGAGCTCTATTTAGCTCCCCAAGGGGAAAGAGTGGTCAGCTTTGTTTACTGTTACATCGCCAGAACTTAAAACAGCGCCTAGCATGTAGAAGGCACTCAGGAAAACATGTCATTAGTAGATAAACAAAGGCACAAATGAATGACAGGGAGAGAGAGAGAGAGAGAGTTGAAGGGGAGAGCAGGAGCTAGAGATGGGATACACAGACCTACTCAGGAAGAGTTCTGTTGCCAAGTTCCTGGTTTACAAGTTAGCATGTGGCCCAGTAACTCTATCTATCAAGAAGAAATTTATTTGCAAAAAAGAAACAAGGACTAAATCCGATTTAGCTCTCCCCTTGAGGGAGGCAAGCTGTCAGAAAGCTTCAGAGGGATATACACTCAGGGTTCTTAAGCTGGATTATTTCTCCAGGGCAAGAAATGTCCATGCTTTTTAGTTCTCAGGGTGGTTTTGCCCTTAGATTCAAATCACTGAATCACTGACTGACAGCAGCTATGGGCACCAAGACTTGGTCCTGTGCCATCTCCGCATTAATGTTTCACCTTTGCTGTTTCATCCTGGTCTCCCTCCTTCCCTCTCGCTCTGAAGTAAAAACAGTGGCCTCTCTTGGGCTGTGTCATGAATTAGGAAAGCTGCATGTACCTAATCTAAGCTGGGACATCGGTCCAGCTGTTAGAGCAGAAGCCATTGCCTCGGATGGGCCCCACCCATTTCCACTGATCGTGGGGAATCTTCTACTAAGAAACCTCTTCTCATCTCCACAGTGCCATGATGGTTTTGTTCTCTTTGACAGCACCCTAAAGACAGCAACCTGCTCCTTCTCCTCCAAACTAATTTTAAATAATTTTACAACTAAATAATAGTCCATTGTGGGGGCCAGAGTTATTACAAAATCCATGATGGAATAAAATACACTAGTCCCTTATGTTTCATCTCTAGGCCACAAGCAAGGAATGTTTCAAGAGAAGTGTCTCCTGAAAAGGACTTTCCTGAAGTTTCTCACCAAAATTTCAATCAAAATCCACTGACTTTTTCCTCCTAGAATTTGCTATTCTCACAAATAGCACGATACCTTACATTTCAGAATACAAGTATTAAACCCTCAACATTAAAAAAAAAAAAAAGTTGTTTTAAAAATAGTTCCAGAGCCAGGTGTGGTGGCACATGCCTATAATCGCAGCACTCGGGAGGCTGAGGCAGGAGGATCACCCTGAGTTCATAGCCTGGGCTACATAGTGAGTTCAGAGCCAGCCTGATCTACAAAAACAAAATAGTTTCAGTAAAGTTCCACTATCCATTGTTTGAATTCAGGGAAGGCAGAAGAGAGAAGCTGAAATTTTTTAAGCAAGTGTTGAGATCAAGCAATATACATCTGAGACAGAGGAGACTGTCTCAGTCTCCCCTTATAGAATCATTTACATGTGCAACAACCACAATGGTCATCAAAGACTATTTATACCAAAGAACTAGGATTGAATCATAAACTAAATTTTACAGAGTTTTAAATGGACACCCCAAGATTCAACCTGGCACTGCCCGTAAAGAAAAGAACAAGTCTATATTTTGTGGCCAAAGTCACAGTGTTATTATACATTGCAAGTTTAATTGTTACAAGTTCATCAGCCCTCTGAGTCTTAAAGTCTTACGCACCATGGATAATATTCTAGACTCTTTGGTCAGAGGGTATCAGCCACCACAAGGACAATTAGCAAGCCAAGGTTAGAGAAAGACATGGCATTTCATCAACCATCCAGACACTGTCAGAGATGTCTAAGAAATTCTTTTCTGGATATCAGGGAATCAGTTTTTCCTCTTGATCAAGTCTTCAGTTACTTCATAGACTCTGTTCAGAAATCAGAATATTCATAATTCAGAACTTCGAGGCAATTTAAGAGAATTTGTTGATAAACCTTTTTATTACTACTTGGAATAAAACTAATGATCCAGTATTAACTGTTTTGGTTTCCCTCTTCTTTGCTGATGAATTACTTGGTCCTTTAACTGATTCAAAAGTCTGAACAGTAGAGGCCTTCTCAGCCCTCCTGTACATGGGACCACTGCCAGAACCTTTAGGAGATAAAAATGAAGAGCAGTCAGCTCATGGTCAAGCTCTGTGGATATAACTTGGCTACAGTTTCTCTAGGGCCCAGGTGGTGAGCCATTTGCCTGGTGTATACAAGAAAACTGACAGCAGTGACACTGAGGTGTAACTTTTCCTTTCACAAATGGGCACTTGAGATACTGCTGGTTTTCTGTTATCTTTCACAGGGAACAGAAAATGTACAAAAATCCTATTCCTTGTCCTTGTTGCAATTCTACTACCCTTATGGAACAATGGAGTAGTCTAAACTTTGGTCACATGGTGACAATGTAACAACACATATTTAATTTCTAAATGAAGCAAGGATTGTCCTAAAGAAAATCTAAGAATGATTTGAAGGCCCAAAACAAAAGATTTCTTCAGGCTCTTTGTGAACCATTAAGCAAAGAAGATAATGGTGTTAGTCCACAGTTCA